CGGGTTGTATTCGATTATATGACCGTGCAAGTACAGGCAGAATTCCGATGTATCGGCAGGGAAATTGTCTTGAGCCTCGAATTCCAGACGAATATCGACAGGTCCAAGTTTGAGGGACTCATTTTGTTTGGAGCAATCGATAACGATCAATGGAGCATACTCGAGAAATTCATTATTCTTCAGCAAATGTTCAGGATCCTTGCCATAGTATGTAGCTTGAAAGTTTGCATACATCTCGTACAGCAGAGCAAACTGATTATGATCAATGTCAAGATTACGATTTCTGCAAATTCAAGAAGAGCTCAACATCTCTGTCGTTGCAGTGGTCAAAGTGACTAGCGTTCTTATTTTTCTTGTTCTTCCTGTTCGTCTGAAATCCCAACATCACGTATCGTGGTTTTTCCAACTGAAGCGACGTCTTGACGGTCCACGTGTGTTTCGAAGTGGTGGGGAGTAGAGGATATTCGTACAGCCTGGGAGCTATGAAAGCTCACGGAGATGGGTGCATCCCTCTTGATGAATCTCAGCAGTTATATCTTTCGTCGATCCGATACCTTTACGTACAGTGTCAGCCATTCCAATTTATGAATTACGACTTTGCATTCTTCCGGAGCAGTTTGCACTATTGCATTGACATCGCTCTTTGCTCTCGTCAGAATCAACTCGTGATTAGCGTTAACGACAATCTTGCGATAATCTTCGGCGAAACCCAGTATCAGACTCAGCGGAATGGATACGTCGAAGTAACCGTCTGCATTGGTCAACTTCTCTCGTTCTCTGACGTGGAGCCAATCGGCGTTCTCCATCAAGGATCGTTGACCGGGACTTAGGGAAGCATATCCCTTCATGAGACTCGTGAGACCAACATTCTTGTTCCGATCGATCTCTAATGCATTCATTTCATAGCGAATCTCCTCGAAGAGATGGCAAATGGCATTGTTGACCAGAGTCGTGCTCGCAGTCGCTGTAGACCCATCATCCGTGATCAGCTTTCCATACACGTGCAGCAAACTTTTGCTCGGTAGTAAGCATAGGTCTTGATGTTGAACGGAGGTTCGAACCTTGTCGCTGTTGTTGAACGTTGACGAGACGTAAGGTTGATGCGCATGCGTTTCACAGTGTGCTATAGATTCATCGAAGACGATCGGTGTCTGAATGTTCAGCGTTTCTTCTTCCATGGTACGCGGCAGACGAAAAGAATGTAACAGAACGAACGCTTTACTTTCCTCTTGTGACCTTGAATCCTAGATTTTCCAGAAACAAGACGTTTTGACGTATTAGCGCCTTCAGAAGCGGTCGACAACTGATCCCTCTTTGGCATATAGGTCTACTATTATAACCACTGCCAATTTTCCTATTGTAGACGATACCCATTATCGCATGCATCTGATGTGTAGCTTGATCGTTTTGATTTCTCCTTGAAAATTCACCAGGTCCCCATCTTGATCGACTATTCGAAGCTGCAGGTGATCTATCCTCTATCTATTGGCGATCGGTAGATAAATGACGTACGATGACACCTGTATGATCGTGTATTCAGGTGGTACGCCTGGACAGAATTCGTGTACGGTGTGCACTTTACGTTCGTTGATGTAAGCGTCCGTCGTGACGTTGCATTCGACTCGTAGGGCGTTCACCTTGAGAATGGTCACTGGTACGTCGGCCATGTGTAATTTATTAGCTTCCAGAACGCGTTGAGTTAAACTCAACAAGCGACCTATGGAATCATTGGGTCGAAACTCGACATCACGGTTGCGCATAATTTCGCTGCACAACGGATTATTGTTAGGTTTAATCTGAATGATGATGCTTTTATCCGTCAAAGCGTTATGCACGTAGTTTTCGATATCTTCGATCTCGTAGCTACCAGTAGGTATAGTGATAACTTCATCCCCCACGTAGAGCTTGTTGTGATCCGTGTCCACGTTGGGAATCGAATTGAAGGTCAGCAACTCGATGAGTCCCAGAGCCTAATTTTTGTACTGAGAAAGCTCGATAGGAGGGAAGTATTCAGTTTCCAGTATCGAGCAGGTGCCTGATAAAGTTAACGTGAATGAATTCTCCATGATTCCAAACGCTCAACTAACCTTGTGAAATTACATAGCAAGTTTATATAGAAGATACTTGTTTTTACGATATAATTGTCCACGCAGGAACTTTAGACACAAGTGGCCACATGCGAAAGTACCGTACTCCTGATATCCCTCGTAATTGTACTTTACACTACCAACACCGAGATATCTAATGAGATCTAGCGGTGGTCGAAGATTGACGGAACTGTCGAAATAAATGACTCAATCGTTCAGCTTCTTGTACGCGATCCAATGTGTTCCTGGGCTATCTTCGTCGTCGAGATTGACGATTGCCGACTCGTACTTGTACGGCCCACCCTTCGGCATAGCTTTCCGCATAAAGACTCCGCGAAAATGTGGAATCTTCATGATCTTCGCGTACTTTAGCAGATCCGCATCGGTCAATGCTCGGCGTGGTAGTTTAACTTCAAGTTTTTTGGCTTCAGATGAAGGCCTAGTCCTTTTCTGTAGGGTTTCAAGTACAGTCCTTTGCCTAACGCGATGGCTTCCATCTTCTCGTTGTGTCGCTGACTTTCTTTCATTTGTTTCTTGTTGCATTCGCATCGTTCACGGGTTTGGCTATACATGCAGCACCGCCGGCCAACGCTCCAGCGGCACTAATACTCGCAAATACAGGGACGAAAAACGGCAAGAAGCCTCCGATTTTATACGGCATGGGTAGAACCCGCAGCGTGCGGACGTTGCGCTTTTCATCCGCTCGTTTGACGGCAGCTTGTGCACCCTTGAGAGCAGATCTGATAGCTACCCCTGCATCGTTGCTAGGAATCATATATCGTTTGGCTTCCTCGATGAGTTTCCTCAGCGTTACAGGCTTTCGCTTCTTCTTCTTCTTCTTGAGTCCCATACCGAGTTTCGACTTGGCACCCATTACGTTCGCTACGGACCAGGCAGCCGCCTTCTCGGCGAGACTAGCGTCACTAGCGAAAACGCGCTTCCAAGCTTTGTCGGCCAATACTTTGTCCGCTGCCCCTCTGTGTTCGAGACTTTCTCGATTCTTCGAGTAGGCGATGTCGTGCGATGTAGGTGATGTTGATGCCGGGATCACCTCTTTGCTAGTTTCGTACCGTGCCCACAGTACTGATAACCGGGTACATGTAACTCAACGGGTAGACTGTTGATGATCCTGTTGACTAATCCTCTACTACGATGAGATTTTTTTCCTCCCAATACGTTTACGTTTAGGATACACGATTATGTCCTTGCGGTGAAACAGTTCCGACTGAACAGCGGTCCTTATAAATTCATCATTTATAGTCAAGATCGAGATGAGGTTCGAGAAGCAGTCCGTCAGGTTACCTGTAACGAACTTTGACAAAATCGTGCGAGTAAAGGAGTAGAAGGAGGCCAAGCGACACGGCGAATTACTGCCAAACAATATACGAGCAGTGTTTTACGGACCATCCAATTGCGGCACTTGTTCGCTCTCATAACTCATCCTAACGGATTGTTCAAGGTTAAAACGGCTGAAGGCTACCGTCTGAAATCTACACGGATCGTGAGGGAGGAAGGAGGTTTATCGAAGATTCTAGAAAGCTCTACAAGGTGGGGGCAAGGGGCTTCATTAAAACGTCACGCGAGAGAACCGTCGGATCTGGGAGCGATCCTTCGCAACTTAACACGGACACGAACCATCGAAGCTTCTAGAAGGTTCTAGAAGGTTCTCGATCGTGTAAGATTCCTAGAATCGAACATAAAATTCATGGAATCCAACGTAAAACTTCTGGAATTCCCAATAAATTCCTAGAAAATAGGGGGCTTCGGTGACGTCACTTCCGGAAATTGTAGAGTTCACGACGGCAACTTAACACGAATACCCACCTTCGATGATTCTACAGTGTCAGTATAGGTCGGTTACAGGAATTCTGGTCCAGAAACTCCAAACTTATACTACTTCGGCGTCCTCCCCGCGGAGCCGCGAACCGTGGCCACTTAAGGTTCTGGAGTATCGATAGTTCGTCCCGGCAGTTAGACACCCCTTGCGTGCAGGCTCTCTACCCAAAAGGGCCCTATGCCTCGACCGCCGGTCCACTATTTTCCGCCATTTCTTCCTCCCGTAACCCTGACCAACAAAATCCTTAGAGATGTAGGCCGGAGGCACCATCGTACCGTCCATGGTGCGCATGGTGCGGGGCCTTCGTAATGTTTCGCCTTGACGCCACGTTATAATACATAAATGTAAATGACAATAAATAATTGTTTATACAGGGTGTCCCAGAACTACTTTTGGACCGGAAAGTGAGCGATGGCTGGAGGTGTCCTGAGTACCCTCCCGCAAACCGTTTGCCAAAATTCGCAATAGTTTTTAAATGAGAAGCATTTAAGTGGGACCAATGAGAACGAAGGATTTCCGCGGGTCATAGCAGCGTGGTGGGAAGTACACTCACGGATGCCAAAGATAGCTGTTGTGCAATAGCTTCCCACAAATTCCGCGCTTAGCAATTGTTTTACAGGCCGAGCGAGTGTCATTAGGATTCGTTGACAAACTACCGATATGGGCATGGGCGTGTCTTAGCTTAGACTGGAGTAGCAGCTACACGTGCAACTCGGCCTGTGAAACAATTGCTAAGCGCGTTGTAAATCTATTGTAACAAAGGTACTAAAACAGTTTTAACTTTAATAAATAACCTAGTCAAACGATTCACTTTTTCAAGGATTATTAAGATAGAAATAAGAAATCTATACAAAAAACGATAATATATTAATATTTAAGGTTGTATTGTTATAGGTAATTATTATAGTCACGGTAGTAATTTGAATATACTATTTTTATTCATTGGGTAAATATAACTGTAGTTAAATGTAGCTACATAACTGTAAATTAAATAACGCAGACGATAATTTTCAAAGATTAACTCAAACTTATTTGACTTAATATAGAATATTGTAAAGTAAAGTAACTATGTCGACTAGTGTGTAATAGAACTTCTATTTATAAATTTCCTTTGCCCATTGTACATATTTGTTTAGAGAAAACAGATAAAAAAAAGCAACGACGTCAATTCTTTAATAGAAGAAAGAAAAGAAACTGTAACCGCATCGCAATCAATGTCATACATGTATAGAAAGTAACGCAAAGGTTACAGTAATCTATATGAATTTCAAACCTAATATGAATTAACTTTGTGTGACTGCCACAGTGCCATTTTGGCCTAACGTCCCAGATTGAACAAGAGTTCCCGTTTGAGGCAGCGCAGTTTCAGTTGATGGCTCATTTACGCTTACGGGAGAAGCTGAGTGATTGTTGGCATTCACAGCTGCGAGAGCTTTATTGCGGAGTTCAAAAACCTGTTGTATCGCTTTACGAAAGCATAAAAAGTTATAGTCAATCACTCCTGAAAGCAATGGAAACACAGCTATTTATAAATATTCTCAAACGTCTGTAATATTTCAAAAACGTAATCATATACACATTTTAACTATAGTTTCTAGATATGGTCGAGATATATTTTTAAAACAAATTTTTTTATCTAAGCTAAGTAAAGAAAAAGGAATACATGACGATAATCATTTTGGGTTTTTATAACATTGTGATAGAAGCATGATTTTATACGAGATCAAATGGACATTACTGTGATTATAATAAAATCAACATTGCAGTTGTACTAACAAATTTGTGTAACCAAAATTATTCCTGTTGGTAATGGAACTCAAATATTACGTAAATATACCGTTTTATGATCTGAATTTTAGTTCGCAATTTATCCTTTTTTTCATTTAGGTGTACATTCCAACACAAGAGTAATTATTACACTGGTTACTGATTTTTGTACGATTTATTGAAATTACATTGCATCTATATTGAAGTTTAGAAAAGAAAGTGAAATATGAATGTCATAACTAACCCTCAGAAGGCTGGAAGACAATATATTTTCTCTAAATCAGCTCGAATTTTCACGAAAGTTATCTGTCTAAAACTTGCTGCCAAAAAATCTACCAGATCTTACGCAGGGTTAAATCTGCTCAAATGCCAACAGTATTTAAAAGTGCTTTTTTTGCAAATATATCTGCGAAACATTCAAAACAGTTTATCTAATTTTATACTAATAATTCCTATCAATAAAAATTTGATATAACATCGAAAACAAACCTTGCCTGTCGAAATTGTCCTCACGAAGGATGCAAACCAAAGCCAAAAATTTATTCACTTCCCGTAAATAAAGAATAGTACCATTATTCAATTTAATTAAACTAGAGCTTTGATTATCAAACGCTGCTGCTTCCAAATCTTCCCTCAACCTAGAAATAGTTGGATTTCAAATTATTAAAAAGTAAAACAATAAGTGAGATTAATATAATTAAGTAATGTATACATATATTCTCAAACAAATTACATATGCACATATGTAACCCTCTGAGGACGGGAAGAATTTATAAATACTCTTCGCACATATTTCAATAGTGTTAATAGGATGTAAATTGATTGCAAATAATGACAGTTTCAAACTGCTAGCATCAAACGTTTACGTAACACTTTTGAGATGCAAAGAAAATACCATCAAAAACCCTACGAGTTTCTTTGAAACAGAATGATACTTGAAACGAAATGATACTACTACATTTCTATCATTTCAAAGTCGGCCATATTTGATCCGTCACCTTGGATTACAGAATTTTGAAATTTTAAGGTCAAATTCGGATTCAGCGACCACACACGGAAAATAACAATTTGTCATTGCAACAACGATTACAATAACCGTTACTACAACCTCTAGTAAATATAGGAACAGCACTTCTGTGCAGTGACGATTACTCTTACAATGTAGTAAAATTTATTCATTAGTTTTGGTATTAGGTATTACGTACCATGCGTAAGTTTAAAAAAATATAATAGTGAAATTTACCTCTCTATTAGAAGACACTGACATATCATAGTTGTTATTAAAATAGCGAAATTAATTCTTATGTTTATACGAAGCAAAGTTCTGTAAATATTATAGTAGTATTTATTTTAATTAAAATACATCAAACATGCAACTGTCATAATTTTATAATTAGAATAAAATTTAAGGAAAAGTGGATGTGTTGCGTATAACATCACGGCTGAAGAACCACATCTATTATATTTTATATTGCCGACAGCAGGATTTGAATCTGTGATCGTGAAATAAAGATAGGAAGAAGAAAACAGTAGAAGAAAATATATCAATGCACAAATGAGAAACACATTTTATAGTATTGGTACATGGATCAGAAAAGAGGGAGATAAAGAGAAGATCAAAAACGAAAGAAGATATACAATTCAAATAAGAAACGACTAAGGATATGTGAAAAAACGATAAAAAAAGAACTTACAGATGAGTCGATAGGACAACAAATAAAAAGATTCAAGAAGAAGAAGAAGAAGAAGGCTCAAGGAACAAGTGAATTTCAAAACAAAGCATGGATATATTCAAAGGGAAATACAAGCTAAAAGAATATTTTTAACAAATGTGGAGAGGGTTTTTGCTAAAGAGTAGAGAGAAAGAGTAATAACTCCTTTGAAACAAAAATTGAGATAATAAGGACATAAAGAACTACAGAATAACCTTATTTAATATAGTGTAACGTGACAAAACGACCAACCTCTCAGTACTCCTGTACTGAGAGCGCACTCGTTACAAATAGACAACAAGGACGCGCGGCTAGTGTCAACACTAGCCGATAGATGAAGAACGTCTCCCGAAAGTCAAACCGCAGAAAAGTAGTAGCAAGATAATACAAATAGACAACAAGGACGCGCGCAAAAATTGAGATAATAAGGACATAAAGAACTACAGAATAACCTTATTTAATATAGTGTAACGTGACAAAACGACCAACCTCTCAGTACTCCTGTACTGAGAGCGCACTCGTTACAAATAGACAACAAGGACGCGCGGCTAGTGTCAACACTAGCCGATAGATGAAGAACGTCTCCCGAAAGTCAAACCGCAGAAAAGTAGTAGCAAGATAATCCGATAGAGGAGTAGCGCTTCTCGCTAGTAAATATCGGATTACAATCAGTCGAATACGACATTTCAAGTCAATCGAATCAAGTTCGTCAGAAATCCGGGTCACTAGAATGGATAATCAAAAGTCGAACCGACGAAATCGAAAAGCATCGATAAATATCGCGAAAGCACGGCATATTCCGCGTAAAGAGAAATCCGTCAAATAGCGCATATTCGCGTAAGAAAACTCATCGTAAATAATCTTGTCAAAAGGCTACAGAATATTAGCATTCGCTATTCCGATTAGACCGCAACGTAGAAAATTTGTCAAAGTTCTGAGGAGACCACCGTGATCTACGTCAGAAACTTTAGTTATCGCCATTTTGTTTTATCTATTATCCGCGCCGTTAGTAGTTGCGTCGCACACAGGGCCATAGCCAATAGATAGGCAAAGCACCACTGGGGCTATAGAATCAACACCGGCAGATCCTCTGTACCTCACATACAGGTCAGAGAGAGATAGGGATAGAAAACAAACATCGGCCGATTCCTAGACAGTCCTTTTTCCTACAATACTGACAATTGATTGAGACTGAGTAATTGACACCGATTATAAAACTTCTGTATCGATTATCGATTATTTAATAAACTTTTGTTATTTTATTTTATTTTACCCACCTGTGTAGACTACATTCTTAAAGACGCCAGTCCCGAGCACTTACCTACATCCCATTTCGTACACTCATAAGGAGCGTACGAAATTGCACTATCGAAGAACGTTACAATAGGTTATTAAAAAATGTATGCAATGATGGGGAAAGATGCTCTCAAATACGCTTCTTGCATATTTGAAGAAGTTTAGAAGAGATAGCAGCACGTCGGATAATATATTCAATTCTAAACCACGCGATAGATCGAGAACTGAGTAAAATAAAATAAGGAAAACTCTTTGCATTCTTTGTGGATTTAAAGGCATCCTTCCTATTGTGTATATCGCTAGAAGCTTTAAAACATATTACAAAAGAAAATAAGTAAAAGAGAGGATAAAGGAAATATACACAAAAACAAGAAGCGTAGATAAGAGGTTTACCTTGGTACAACTTCTGAATTACGAGAGGATTCAGATAACATTGTCGACTCAGTCCAGCACATTTTGCACTATTTCTGTCAGACATCGAAGAAAAGCTAAAAGGTTGCCAATTAGAAAGAGTAATAGTAGGACAAGAAAAGTTCCGAAGGCTTGCATACACTGACGTCTTGGTAGTGTTAAAAACAACAGAGGGAGAGATGAAAGACAAGTTGAGAAAATATCAAGAGACTTGGTCGAATGCCGAGCCAAGTAGAGGCGACCGGCTGTACAGGCAGTGGGCGAAGATCGAGACTTTTCACCCGAAGAAACTCGTAGTACACATATGGACATACAGTGAGTAACTTTAATATTCGGACACTATGAGATTTTTACTATATTACATTATAACTTAATTTCTAACCAAAAAAAAAATGATTAAGGATTATGATGACGTATACGCTTAATAAACAATAGCGTAAATTTTGTTTACATAACTTACAATAGTTGTTCAATAATACGGTTTAAATAAAACATTGTCCGATTTTCACATTACTTTAATATTCGGATACTTTACAATGTAGCGCTTTTTCCAATGTTCAAGCCGAGTTACCCCAAATTAGAGGAAAATGGTTATTTACAAATCTAGTCAAGCGTTCTAGTTTAAGACTTATTTTATTAGTTATTTGTCAATCATCGTGCAATACACTTGTACAATGCCTCGCAAAGCGAACACGAGTTTTGATATACGGCAATTTGTAATATATCATAATGCCAAAGAAAATCGTACTAAGAAATTGCTGCTCTTCTAAACATAAGCAAGAGCACAGTGGGAGGTATAGTCAAGCGGTTCAAATGCGAGGATCGTATAGATTTTATACCCCAAAAAGGTCAACCGAAGAAACTAGACGTTCGCGATGAGAGAAAATTGCTAAGAAAAATAAAGAAGGACCCTACGCTCGTGCCCCAAAATTAGCATCAGAGCTGTTAAACGAGACTGGAAAAAATGTGCATCCTCAGAGTGGCTAGAAAGAAGAGTGGCTAGAAAGAAACCGTACGTGAGTGAAAAGAATCGAAAAAAGAGACTGAATTATGCAAAATAATTTATTTTGAAGGATGAAACATGGTGGAATGATGTCATCTTTTCTGAGGAAAGTAAATTTAATATTTTGGGTCAGATGGACGAAGGATGGTGTGGTGGAAAAAAAAGGAAGAGTTTAAACTTAAAAATCTTCGGCCGAGAGTAAAGCACGGAGGTGGCAGTGTAATGGTCTGGGGCTGTATTTCGACGTTCGGACCGGGCGAATTAGTTTTCATCGAAAAAATTATGGACAAAATTTGTACATGACCATATTGAAAAACAATTTACACAGAAGTGCTACAAAAATGGGGATTTTAAATACGTTCAAGTTCTACCAGGATAATGACCCGAAACATAAGACACGCATTGTGCATGAATATTTGCCGTACAATTGCCCAAAAGTTTTGCAAACACCACCTAAATCACCTGACCTTAACCCCATTGAAAATGTGTGAGATAAACGAGAGCGCCGAATTCGAAAAACACCAATATCTTCCAGATAAATGTTAAAAAATCGTTTAAAAGAAGAATGGAACAGTTTGAGCACTGAATATTTAAAAAAAATTATTAATATTATGCACCAGCGTTTGCAAGAAGTGATAAAGCAGGATGACTACCCAACAAAATATTAAAACAAGTATTGTAACAAAAACCAGCCGAAAAATAAGTATGTGCATATGTAGTTTCTGAAAGTGGCCGAATATTAAAGTAACGTAGAAATCGGACACTGTTTAATTTAAACCGTATTATTCAACAACTGTTGCAAGTTATGTAAATAACATTTACGCTATTGGTTATTAAGCGTATACGTCATTATAACCCTTAATCATTTTTTTTTGTTTTTTAGAAATAAAGTTATAACGTAATATAGTAAAAATCTCATAGTGTCCGAATATTAAAGTTACTCACTGTAGGCAACTGAATACGGCGGCTCCACGGCCGAGGATACGTGGAACAATATTCGAGGCTATACACCAGGAGAAATTAATTATTACATTCATACCAATATTCAATATCCTGAACCGATTATTACAGATTAAATGACATTCATATATGAGTACTCGAGAGACAATAGGATCATTTCAGTTCCGTAGTGTCTCCTTCTCCCTCTTCGCATGTCCGTTTACTTCTTTTACATCTGAGATGGCGCTAACAACGCAACTTTGCTAAAGTAATGAAA